TTTTCTATACAGGCTGTGACATTTTACATTTCCACCAATAGGATATCTATTTGTCCTCTACAGGCTATTGAATAATCCCTTAGGATTATTGGGGTGTCATGACTACAGTTAGTGAGATACCAGGTATAACTGCAATTTGAGTCCTAGCATTGATTACTTGTGTGAAGGTTTGTGAATTGGAGCGTTAGAGTAGATGGTGAAATTAATTAACCTACGTTGTAAAGGCTCCAAAGCCAGGGGGCTGTCTTTTATCTTTTTTTCTTATGTAAACTCTTTCAATACACTGGATTTCTAATTGGTGAAATTGTAGACCCCTAGTTTCACTACATTTTTTCTTATATTTCCTCCCTCCTGTCCTTTCCTGTTTTTTTTTGTTTTGTTTTTGTTTGTTTTATTTTTTTCCCTATTGGTCATTGGATATACTTTGGGGAAGGGGTTGCCTCTCTGACCTGATATATGTATCTGAGAGCCTCCAATCAGTGCCATTAGGGTTAGGAGCCTGCCCACTATAACTGGTTGCTTTATAGAGTTTAAGGACCTAAGCTGAAGTCAGGTTTCAATTTGCTGTGCCACAGCGAGGCCATGGGTGCTGTCCCCTTGACCCCGAGGGTCAGGATCTGTGCTGTAGTAGTGGCAGGGGCAGAAGCAGCAGCCAAGGCACATAAGGGTCTTGGGGAGCCCTCCGGTGTTAGGGTGTGGACTCAACCCGCCACCTGTTGGCTGCCTTTCCCCATCTACTTTGTCACTTTCTCTTAAACTACTGCTCTTTCAGCGGTGACCCGCAGATGGGCTCACCTCTTGCACAGGGTGTAGTCTCCTTTCTTCATTCTCATCCCCGGGCGACGTCAGAGTCAACCCACCCTCTGTCTTAACTTAACGCTCTGACACACCCACAAATCCCATCAAAGACATCCACCCACGAACACCTGCAGGAGGGCCCCGACCCACACGCCTGCGCCCAAAGGCCTAGGAATTCTCGAAACTGCGCGCTCTGGCCGGCTGCACACAGAACTGAGGTTCAGCGGGGTCAGCGCTGCCACACGAGGCAGCACAGCTCACAGCCCCAGCTCCCCAGCACCCAGCAGCCCACAGTGCGGCCGCCAACAGGCAGCAGAGCAGGTGAGCAGCTCAGAGCGAGACAAGATGGACCCACGGAGTGGTCATGTCAGGACATACTCAAGGAGCCAATTGTTACAGTCACCTGCGGAGGCGTGGTTCCCAGGTAGAGAATGATGTAGTGTGCTCCCTTGACCCAACACACACACATCTAGTATAAGAAAAGGTTATGTATGTATGACTTACATAATTGAGATATCTGGGGCATAGGGCTGGCCTCTCAAGCAGCTCTAAAATGGCTTTAGAGAATTAAAAAAATAAAAGAACTGGGTTTTATTTGTGATTACATGGTGTTAGAGAAAAAATATTCAGTGCCACCTGTCAAAGATGGTAAGGAAGATTTTATTCAGAACCACTGTGACGGGACTTCACGGAGGGGAAAAATGGGATCGGGCCCCACTCCCAGCACAGCAAGGGCAAGTGGGGATCACGGCCAGAGAGCAGGGTGGGCGTCAGTGGATGGAAAATCACTGAGAGAAAATCAGGGTTAGGGGTTCCTGCTAAACCGACCGACAGGATTCCGACTGCAGACAGGCCAGGGTGCTCAGACGTCACCTGATGGTGCAGGAAACGGAACTGACCAGATCTGGAGGGGATCCGATAGGAG